GCGTGGAGCGGAAGGGGCGACCCAGGCAGGAGCGGGCCCCAGGTCTGGGGGCTGATGTGAGGTTGCACCTGGGCGGGTGGCAGTGTGGCAAGTGGCTCAGGCACTGCCCGTCGGACGGTCTAGCAGGGACCCCGAGTCTTGGTAAGGAGGCACAATGGCTCAGGGACGGCGGCGGGGTCCTGTGGCAATGCAGGTCTGTGGGACCCGGGGCGTGTGCCCCGTGTGGGTGCAGGCCGTGACCGTGGGCCCCTGGTGAAGGTCACAGGTCGGCGACGGCAGAGTGGTGCCAGGTCCCAGAGCCATGGGCTGTGTGCCCGCCAGAGGGAGTTAGGGCCAGGCCTGGCGAGGCTGTGGACCTCCATTTTTGGAGCCGATTCCTCAGCCTCTACCCCAAATCCTTCCTATCAATTCCATTTCCACCTGGGCTGGCCAGTGCTAAGCTCTGGTCTTGCAACCAAAAGCACTCCCTGTGGGGCCCGCCTGACCCTGGACTGGTGGTGGCCCAGCGGTGACCACACCTCCTGCTGCCCAGAGGGTGGAGGTCCAGGGCTTCTGGCCGGGCCTGGGGGTCCTGCCCCTCCAGCGTTAGGGCCCTCTGCCCTCCCCCAGGACAGCCCCCACCTCCTGGCCTCGGGGACCCTCTCCATCACCTCTTCCCACCCCTCGGGGTCCCACTCATCCAGGGGAGATGAACCCCAACCCCTAAGTTTGCCCGGCAGGAATGGGACCCTTCCCCCCGGAGCTCACGGCGACATCCTCCCCCACCCGGCTTCTAGGGCGGGCCCTGCAGGTGCCCAGGCCTGGGGAGTGCCCAGCCAGTGTGCGCACACTCAGGCCGCCTCGGGCGCCCTGTTCCTCCACGGAATCCTCGAGACTGTCAGGCAGGGTCATTATTCCTACTTTTCAGATGCGGGACCCTCTCCGTCCTCACAGCTGTCCCTTGGCTGTCGGGAGGCCAGGGTGGGACGGCAGCCTGGAACATGTGATGGGCCAGAGGGATGGTGCTCAGGGCCTGGGCTGCTCTGAGACCCACGGTTGGGAGAACAGGGCAGGTCCCACCCCTCCTCTCCAGGGGGTGGCTCAGATGAACTGTGTCACTCTTGTGTGACCACGGCAAGGCCTCTGTGCCTGTTTCCCCACTGCAAAGTGGCGCCTCTCAGGGAGTTGAGGACCGAGTAAGGAAACGTGCATGACCTGCCTTGTGACCCACAGGGCTCAGAAAGGACAGGGCAAGTGGGGGAGCGGCCCCAGTCAGCCGGTCACTCCTCGTCAGTGCCCCAGCTTCAGTGGCAGCGGGATCCCAGTGGCAGCGTGCGGGCCAGGTCTGGCCCAACACTGGGGTGCAGGGGTGTCTTCTGGGCGGGCGCCAATGCAAGTTCCCCGCTTCCTCATTGCACCAAGGTCGCTCCCCTGCGCTTCACAGCCTCAGCTCTGGTGTCTGCACCAACCCCCCCCCCGTGCCTGATCAGTCCCCAGGAACGAGACACGCGCACACACGTGGATGAACACGTGCACACATACACATGCACGAGCACATGTACATGCATGCAGAGACACACGCACAGGCCTCACAGCCTGTTTCCGTGGGCCAATGATTTTGCGGGTTCTTGTCTGAACGTTACATGACTGCTGGTGGCCCCTGGCCTCAGCCTGTCTCGCACACGAAAGGCGGGCCCAGTCGGGGATGGGTGGAGGGCGCGACACGGGGATGCCCCCTGGCCACAGCAGCCTGCAGCTGGTCTGGCCAGGGGACAGCTGTGGGGACGGAGAGGGTCCCAGAAGGCCCCTCCTCGCGTGTGTCCCGCCCCCGTTGGGGGCAGTGGGGACCAGGGCTGAAGGCTCCCGAGCCGTTGCCCCTTCTTTCCAGACGTCTTTGGGGCCTGGCCCCTGGCCCCCCTGTACCTGCGCTCCCAGCCTGGGGCCCAGGGACTTCGTGGAGGCCTTTCCTTCACAGACGGTGGCGGCAGGCCGAGAGGTGGGTCCACGAGTCCAGACACCCCCACCCCCTCGAAGGCCTCTGGCGGCATGGGGCAAGAGGGCAGGACCTACGCTGTCCTGATGCGTCCCCGGCACCCGAAACGGCTAGCACACCCCGTTGCTGAATTAGGGCCTGAACGAAGGCTTGAGTTAACGAGTCCACTTGCAGGTCTGTCAGCAATTCCCTGGCGAGGGGGTCTTCTTGTAAATGCTGGGACCCCCAAGAGCTGCTTCCCGAGTCTGGGGAGAGCCGCCCCCGGGGGCACCGGGGCGGCCTCACGTGGCCCAACACAATGCGTGCGGCCACTGTGGCCCGGTGTGCGCGGTGAGGTATGGGAGAGGGAGCCTGGGCCCTCCACCACGAGTCCGCAGAGACGGTGATGAGGGAAGTCAGGGGGAGGGCTCCAAGAACCGGGGACCCATCCAAGGGGTCTGAGTCCTGCCTCGTTTAGCCTGTGGCCTCCGGAAGCCACTGCCCACGTGGAGCCGGTGTGCTCGCCTGAGAAGCAGGACGGCAGCACCCCCAGGGCTGCCATGGGGCTCTGGGGTGTCGGTGGAGGCTGCCCCGGCCGGGCAGGCCGAGCGTCCGTCTGAAGCGCACGCGCGTCCAGGAGCCGGGGCACGCTGGCCCTGACCTGACACGTGGCTGTCTCCTCCCTTTGCACAGCCCGGTCCCTGTTCCCGATGAAGCCTTGCTGCCCTGCACCCCACCGTTCTTTGCAGGTGGCCCCTCACGGCCTTCACATCCAGAAGAGAAGCCAGTGCGGAAGGAGGGGCTGAGGCAGGGATGAAGCGCGGACCCGTGCTTCCTTCCTAGGGCGGGGGCACACCCGCCTCTCGGGGGGGCCACCCGGACGGGACCTCCAAACTGCCCTGAGGCCTGAGAAGGGCTTCTAGGCAGAAGAGGCTGCGGGGGGGGGGGGACAGGACGTGGAAAAGTGTGGGGGAAGGTGCGAGG